GCTGGTGGCCCAGTGTCTGGGGCGGGGGAGAGTTTGTGACCAGCAGGGGGCGCTCTTGCCCAGCACGTTGGTCCCGGGCAGGTACCTGAATGGAGGCATCGCCTTGTGCAGCCAGAGGGCGCTTGGCCCAGCAGGCCCAGCTCAGGAGGTGTAAGCGTGTTATAGAGACTAAGGGGGCCGTGCAGGGCAGGGGAGTGCTGCACCTCGCACGCAAGTTACAAAGAGCGGTGGGGGGGAGCAGGCAGAGGTGGGCAGCCCACCAACTAGCAAGCACTTGGAATGCCAGGCCATAGGGGTCAGGGCCAGGAAGTACCAGACTCACACACTTACCCACACACCTGAGGGCATGCACACTCACATGTGCACAGATACGCAGGTCCATGCACACTCACATGTGCATAGATACGCAGGTCCATGCACACACACGTGCACAGATACGCAGGTCCATGCACACTCACATGTGCACAGATACGCAGGTCCATGCACACGCACATGTGCATAGATACGCAGGTCCATGCACACACACGTGCACAGATACGCAGGTCTTTGCACACTCAACGTGCGCAGATACGCAAATCCCTACACACTCACTCCGTGCACACTCACACGTGCACTGATACGCAGGTCCATACACACTCACACGTGCACTGATACGCAGGTACAGCACACAAAGAAACAAGTCACAGCCCTTTTTAATCTCCAGCTACAGGGTAGAGTCCTGCCTTCCAGACGTGAACATGCATGTGCACATGGACTCATGTGCATGTGACATGGCAGGGAGTTGCTGAGGCCCCGGCCTCGTGAGCCCAGCAGGGTCTATGGTGACAAGGCGGCTCCAGGGTGGGGGGGCCCTGCCGTGCAGCCTGCCAGGTGCTCTCTGGCTGCACCTCTCTGCCCAGTGCCAGCTTCCCGGGGCGCTGCCTTCTCCAGCCCTTTCCCTCGCTCCGGCCAGGTTCTGCCTGATGGTGAGGAAGGGCTACTGTCCACGCTGCCATGCTGAATTCCCACAATGCACTGCTCCTCACCTCCTCTCCCAAACCCTACGGTTTCTGTGAGCAGCTGCTGCT